GCCCCGGTGGGGGGGGGGTGGCGGGAGGCAGGTGAGGCAGGGCGGCAGGCAGGGCAGCGGGTGACGCGAGGTGGGGGCAGGGGTATGGTGGTGCGTGTGTGCTTGTGTGGCCGAGGGGAGGAGAGGCCCGCAGCAGATGCCCACTCCCACCCTCCTGCAGCCTCGCCGCCCGTGCTGGCGCTCTCCCCCTTCTCCCCGCCGGCACGCTCACCTCCTCGCACTTGGCCAGCTGCTCCTGCGCCCCGTCAAAGTCGTAATCCACAAACAGGCAGCGCACAAACTCGGTGACGGGGTCGCTGCGGGGAGGGAATGGTGGCAGCGCAGGCAGGCAGGGTCAGCACACAACTGGAGGGCGGGTCGTCTGCAGCCGCATCAGCAGCCGCTCCACCACCACCTTCCTCCTGCATCGGCCCTGTCGACGCTTCAGCATCACCTCACTCCTCGCGCTGCCGCCCCACCCGCCACAGACACACACACAGCACAACCACACCACCCCCAGCTGCCCCACCAAGCCCCCACCTGTACTCGTACGCCTCCTGGCTGACCACCCGCTTCAGGTCGTTCAGCACGTTGCGCCGCCGCTTGTTCACCACCACCGCCACAGCCAGGTAGCGCAGCAGGTGCTGCGAGGTCAGCTGGATGGCGGTCAGGTACCTGCGAGGCGGTGGGGTGGTGGCGGTGGCATTTTTTCATCCAGAGAGCAGGGCTTGGCCATTAAGCGGCACCCCAGGTGGGGTTGAGAGCGCAAGGGTGGCCACATTGCCACCAGCTGCCTCCAAGGCACAGCCCCTGCGTCTGGCTGCGGCCCACAACACCTGTCCTGCATGAAGAGGTCGATGAGGGCATTGAGGCCGTTCTCGTGGTTGAAGAAGACAAACAGGCTCCAGTGCATGAGCCACGCCTTCTGCTGCAGCTGCTTGGCCACCTGCGGGCACGGCACCGCAAGGGAGCGGTCTGCGCTCAAGTGCCAGCACCGGGGTTGGGGAGCCTGTGCACTGTGACGCTAAGAGGCAGCGCCAGGCTGGCGAAGGCCAGGGGCAGGCTCCCCGCCCACACCCACCGGCGCAAAGGTGTCCACGTCCAGCATCTCCTTGAGCTTCAAGATGTCGTCCATGGCGGACCCAAACTCCTGAAAGCGCAGTGGAGCGTGTTTGGATGGGGAAGGAGTGAGAGCAGGGCGGCTGGAGGGGGAGGGCGTCGCGGGATGGGCGAGCATGCCTGCATGACTGCCGCGCTCAACAATACGCGCTCAACCATACGCCCAGCGGCCCGCAGCCGCACTTCCACAGCTGCAGCACTAGCGCCGGCCGTCGCCCTGGGCTGCCCTGCCCAGACGCCGCGCGGGCCCCCACCTGCAGCAGCACGTCGGCGGCCACCTTGCCCCACAGCGAGGCGATGGTGCGCTCGGGGTGGGTGGACAGGGTGCGGTAGTGGTACAGGTACTCGGCGGCCGCCGAGTAGTTGCCGCACTCAAAGTTCCACTTCGCAAAGTGGTACAGCGCATCCACCTGCTCCGGCCCTGCTCGTACGGCGGGACGGGTAGCAGCACGGCACAGGTCAGTGCGGGCGGCTGCCTGCCGCGCCACCCTACCCGCCGCAGCATGCCGCGCCGCCTCCATGCATCAGGCAAGCTCCCCAGACCTCGGCGGCCACCATGAACCTAAAGCCCTGCCCAGGGCGGCGCACACGCACCGATGTTGAACTCCTTCTGCAGGAAGGTCATGTTCTGCGTCTTGTCCTGCTTCAGCAGCTTCACATTCTCCTCGTTGGAAAGGAAGTCGGTGATGGGCTTCACAGCCCCCTCCAGGCTCTTCAGCTTGGCCACCACCTCGCCGCGGCGCTGGCGCAGCGACTCGGGCACCTGGGCGGCGACGGGGATTGGGATGAGCGCGTGTGGCGGCAGCAGCGTGTGGCGGCGGCGTGCAGCGAGGTGGGGCCGCGTGCGGCTGTGCCAGCCCACAGCGAGGCAACGTAGCATGATGGCATCTGCTGGACAGCAGCGCGCCGGTGGCTGCGGCACCACATTGAGGCACGCAGGAGGCGGCGTGGTTTGCGGTGCCACCGGCGGCAGCGTCGCTGCCATCCCCGCACCTCATCCGTCTGGTTGAGCTGCTGGTAGATGTCTACCGCATAGTCAACCATGTTGGTCTTCTCGATGAGCGCCAGCTTGGCTGCAGGCAGCAGAGCGCGGCGCGCTCAGCGACAGGCACGGCGGAAGCAGGCGGCGGCACGGGTGCGGCAGCGCCCGTCGGGCGGGCCTCCTTGCGCGCGGCTGCTGCTGCACGGATCCTATCCTCGCATGCCACATACCGGCCTCTATGTCCGCCACATCGTAGAGGCCCTTGCTGCCCAGGAACTCCAGCAGCGGGAAAATGAGGTGCTTGTCTAGGTGCTTGGAGATGGCGGGCGTCAGGTCATATTGTGTCATGATGCCCGGCCCTTGGCAGCCACAGATGGGAGGTGATGGAGTGTGTGCCAGTGGGGCGTGTCCCCTGCCGCTCCGCCGGCGCTGCCAAATGGACTGGATCGACAACCAGGCGGCCGGGAGACTGCTGGCAACGCAATATGCACGCCCTGCAGGCCGGGCCCAAATGCCTGGCCTGGGTAGAAGGCAGGAACGCCGGGCGACTGAATTGGCCAATGCGCCACAGATCGGCCTTCCCGACCACACATCCTCACGCAAGGAACCATCATGCAGGCCCTGCAGCTCGCTAGCGTCACACGGCTGACCACCAGCAGGGTGGCCCTGCGTCAGGGCGCCCCCAAAGCCCTTGCCGCGCCCTTGCGCCGCTCCATTGCCGTGCGGGGCTCCGCGGATCAGAAGCCGATGGCACAGGCCGCCCAGGAGCAGCAGCAGCTGGCTACCACCGCGGTGTTGGCTGCGGCGGGTCTGCTGGCTCCCTTTGTGCTGGATGCTGAGGCCGCGCAGGCCGTGCCCGAGATCCTGAAGGGCCGCATCTTCTCCCTCATCCACCCAGGTGAGAACAAGGTGGTGGGTTCTGGCCACGGCGGTGTGGGAGGCGGCGCGGCGGCCCCGGGCACCGCCCTCTCCAATCTGTCGCTTACGAGTCATCCTGCTGCCATCTGCCCCCACTCCTGCCCTTGGCAGGCATGATGCTGTTCCTATTTGGTGGCTCCGTGTATGCCGGCTACCTGGGCTTCCAGTGGCGCCACGCCCGGTGAGCTGGCGCCGCCTGTCGAGCGCGGCGTGGCCACGGCAGTCCTCCGCCGCTGGCAGGCTCGGCTTGATTTCTGAGTGCTGGCTGGCCATGTGTGTTCTCGTGTGATCTGGCTTCAGGGAGCTTGTGGGCATCATCAAGGAGAAGAAAGCGGCGCTGCCGCCTGCCGACGCCGAGGGCAACCGCCCTGCGTCGCCGCTGACCGCCGAGATCTCGGCACTGGAGGCGGTGGGTGGCTGCGCGTTAGCATCAGCCAGTTTGCTCTTGCTATCTGCTGCTGCTGTTGCCGAGTGTGATGCAGCGATGGCACATCGTTGCTGTGGGCAATGTGGCGTCACGCCCCCTGCCTTTGGCCAGCCGCGTGCTGCGCTGCTGCCACATTCTGGGCGCCCACCTGCTGGCGAGCCCCGCTGTTGAGCCCCTCCTTTCCACCCTCTCCCACCTCTGCCCCCAGGAGCGCAAGGAGCTGATCGGCAAGAAGCTGAACGAGCAGCACAACAACTGGGGCAGCCTGCTGCTGGGGTTGGGCGTGCTGATCAGCGTGTCGGGCGCGTTCAACACCTTCCTGCGCACCGGTGGGTGCCAGCATGCATGTGGGCACCCTGCGTGGCAGGGAAGCACGCGTCGCTGCCGGGCAGGCGCAGCAGCGTCGGTTGGCCGCAGGGGCGCTCGTTGCTGCTGCGAGCCAGCCGCTGGCTGTCGCTGCTGCTGCTGCCTCATGAGGCCGATGCCTTGTTGCTCACCGCCTCTCCTCTGGCCTGCCGTGCAGGCAAGCTGTTCCCGGGCCCTCACCTGTACGCGGGCGCCGCCATCACCGTGCTGTGGGCGCTGGCGGCCTCGCTGGTGCCGGCCATGCAGAAGGGCAACGAGACTGCTCGCAGCGCGCACATCGCGCTGAACACCATCAACATCCTGCTCTTTGCCTGGCAGATCCCCACCGGGTTCGAGATTGTGGAGAAGGTGCTGCAGTTCACCTCCTTCCCATGACCAGCGCCGATTTATGCTGATGCCTGCCCGCCCGCCGAGGAGCCTCATTTTTGGATATGCGCCCGCATGGAAGCCGCGTTTTGGAGCTGCGCAGCCCATTGCCCGCAGCTGATTGAGCGTTGCTGATTAGCGGTTGCACCAGAGGGGCGGCTCATGCTGCCGCCGAGGAGAGAATTCTGCTGTGCCCAAACACTGATATACTACGAGAAAGCTATCATAATGAATTCATGCATGACTGCTGTACCCCCAATGCCCTCTATGCTGTATACGTGCCGGTGTTTCGGCACCGCTGTTTTGCGGCCGCCTCTTCAGCGCCGCCGGCGCTGGCCGCCCCCCACTCTGCCCGTCTCCATTTAATTCCTTGTAACACAGCCCTGAGATACACGCCGGTGTACTGCGAACGCATTGCCGGGCTAGGAACACGGGTGTGGCAGAGAAAGAGGCGGCGGCGAGCGGCAGCACCCCCGCCAGGCCGGCCTCCCCCGCCCCCGCTGTCGCCCCGCAGCGCAGCGCTGGCAACCGTGCTGCTGACGAGGCCGGGGCGCCTGCGCCGTCCTGCACCCTTTCCCCCGGCTATGGGCGGCCCCAGGAGGTCGTGACAGACCCTGATCGCAGCTGAGGGTGGCTGAGGGTGGCCATGGCGGAGGACGGCGAGGGCACCTCTGGCGGAACGCCGGGAGGTTACAGCCACGCAGCGCTGATCCAGAAGGTGGGCGAGGGGCGGCAGAGAGGCACGGCGCGCAGGGTGGTGGCGGTGCCAACAGTGCAGGCGCCGGACACGGCTCAGGCTGGGCGTCGGCGCTGCCCCGCGTGCCGGCAGCCGTCGCGCGGGCCTCTGGCGCAGCGATCGGGGGCTTGCTCACAGTGCCCACCCCCCGATTCCAGGGCAAGGAGAAGGAGAAGGAGCTGCTGGACAGGCTCAAGGAGTTTTTCGTGGAGAAGGGTGGGCCAGCGCGCGCTCTGGCCGCCGGATGGCAGCCATCGGCAGTGAGCAGCCTTGGGGCCAATTGCTGGCCTTGGCAGCCCACGGGTGCCCCCTAGCTTCTTGGTTGTGCCCTGCAGGCCAGCCTCTGGAGGAGGGATGGCGCGTGGAGGTCAAGATTCGGGGCAGCGGCACATCGCTGGGCACCACCGATGCGGTGCGCCAGCCTGCTGCTGTTGCGAATGCGCTGCTTGCCTGTTGCAGGCCCTGCTGCCAGGCGTGATGCGCGCCGGCGGTGTGCCTGGAAGCTGGGCAGCGGGAAGCGGCTCGGTGCAGGGAGCGGCAGGCGGTCTGCGCCAGCCACAACCTTGGCGGCGCCGCCTCACACCATGCCCGCTCCTCTCTTCTCAACGCCGCTGCTGCAGTATTACTTCTCGCCGGGCAACAAGCGCTACCGCTCGCGCATGGAGGTGAGCAGCACATGATGCAGGCTCAGGCTGGCGTTGTTGTGGCTGCGGCTCCGCTGCCGTTGGCAACCGCACACGAGCAGGCACTGCCGCCGCTCGCACGCGGGGGGTACTGCTGCCACGGTACAGGTGTTGCTGAAGTTGCAGAGGGCCACCTCACCAATCCGCATCCTGAACCACGATCTCTCCTTCTTGTGCCTACAGATTGCTCGCGACTTGGGTGTCGTGGAGGGCAAGGAGGGCAAGGGCAGCGGCAAGGGGCGCAGCCGCATGGGCGAGGGCAGCGGCGGCGGCGCCGCCCCACCGCCGCTCACCCGCGATGCCGCGATCGCGGCGGCCCGCAAGCGGCGCCGGGAGTTTACCCTGCCACGCAAGCTGCCCTGCGGCGTGACGGTCATCACCCTGGGTGGCCTGCACCCCGGCAGCACCGGTGAGTTGGCCAGAGAGCTACCTGCGTTGCGATGCAGATGGGCGCATGAGCCAGCCTGGTTGCTGCAGCTGCGCGCCTCTCTGTGCAGGACCGTTCACCCACCAGCCCCATGCTTCACTCTGCTGCTGCCGCTGCCGCCCGTTCCTGCCTGCAGCCTTCTGCAACTCGGACCGGCTCTGGCCCGCTGGGTTCACTGCGGAGTGGGAGGATGAGAAGGGGGTGCGCTTCATCAACTCCATCACCGAGACGCCCTCGGGGCCCATGTTCAGGTAGGAGCTGCCGGCTGCGCCTTGTGCCGGCCTTCCTGGCTGCGCGCTGGCTGGCAAGTGTTCCAGTAGGCTGGTTGTCGGGTCTACTGCTCGCTTGTTTGCCTGGCACATGCATGTTGCTGCCCCTGCTCCCACCGGTGCGCGCTGCCTCCTCCGCCCCTGCTCCCCGCAGGATCAAGGCCCAGCGGCTGGCGCACGAGGGGCGTCCCGCCACCGAGGTGATGGAGCTTGGGGCGGGCCCTACGCCAGACGATGCCTACAAGGTGCTGCTGGGCCTGGGGCTGGGGCTGGTGGTGCGGGGGCTGCCATGCTGCGCTGTTGGGTTATTTGCCTGGGCCTGGCCGACCGTCTGCGGCTGCAGTATGCCAGCTCGCATCGTCAGGACCGATTGCCACCTGGCCTGGAGGTGCTGACCGCGCCTTGCATGCGCCGAGCCGCTGCCCTGCAGGATGCCGAGGAGCGGCAGCAGGAGGCGCTTGAGATAGCGCTGCTCAACCGCAGCATCAAGAACCGCGGCGCGCCCTCACATGCGCACTATGACGACCCAGAGGGCAGCCCAGGTGTGTGGCTTGTGTGGCTGCTGCCGCCAGTGGAGCCGAGGTGCTGGCGGCAGCAGGGCCCGCCGGGACGCCATCTGCTGCCTCCACCCCGCCTCGGCCTGCTGCTTGCCCAGCCAGCAACGTCCCCATGCCTGCTCGTGCTGCTGCAGTGGCGCCAGCTGGGCGCGCGCTGGACGGCGCCGAGCACCTGCTTGTCAAGTGCCGCCCGCTGAGCGCCCAGTGGGGCCTGGAGCGCTTTGGGCTGGCAGACCCCACGGTGCTGCAGGCCATAGAGGTGTGTGAGTGGGGCGGAGGCCGCACGAGATGGGGACCCCGGACGTGCGGCTCTACCTGGTGGATGATGGGGCCGGGCCCTGCCTCCTCTGGAATGTTGGAGCTGCAGGGCGCACTGGCTGGGCTGGCCTGCTTGCAGGTCCCGTAACTTGATGCCCTGAATCGACATGTCTCTTCCCGCCTGTGCTCTGCCTGCCCGCAGGGGCTCCCCGGCGCCGACCAGTGCCCCGGCTACGTGTTTGTGGATGAGCGGCCGGGCGGCTGGGTGGCCGAGACTCGGCGCCTCAACGCTGAGCTGGCAGCGCACGGCAAGGCGCAGGTGGGTGGCTGTGTGGGTGTCTGGCGTTTGTCGGTGTTTCTTCCGAGGCCAGGCGCGGGCGTCTGGCGGTGGGCTGTGCCTGGGTGTGCAGCGAGCGGTGCCAGTCACGCTGACACCTGGGCACATGCATACTGCTGCTGCCGGAGCAGGTCCCTATCGACACGCGGCGAATGAGCGCCGAGGGCTCGGGGCCACGCAAGCGCCCGCCCAGGCCCAGCCGCAAGGAGGCCGAGGAGAACGCTGTGCGGAGGGTGAGGTGTTTCAAGGGCGCTGTGCCGTGTGTGGCGGCAGATGTGGAGGGCTGTGCTGCTGCAGAGGCCGCGGCAGTTGAAGCAGCACTGCTGGCAAGGCATGCGTGCATTATCTCCCCTTTCTGCGCCCGCCTGCCTCCCGTTACCCGGCCTGCCTGCCTGCCCACGCGCCCACACTCCTGCAGGTCATAGACGGCATCATCAAGCAGGCGGAGATGGAGGAGATGCAGACGGGCTTCGGTGGGTGGCTGCGCCGTGTGCATGGTGTATGTGTGTGGGCGTGTGTGTCAGCAGCGCCAGTTGCTCGCTCGCCAGCCCGGCTGCTGTGCTGAGCCGTCTGACACCCTGCCCGCTCTCCCATCTTGCCTGCAGCTGACCCGAGGATGCGCATGAAGCTGGACAAGGGGCGGGACCGCAGGCGGTCGGACCGAGACAAGTGAGTGGCCGGCGTGAAACAAGATTTCCAAATCGGGACCGGGAGTACGCGCACTGGTGCCGGCAAAGCAGGTGTCCTCATTGGCACTGTGCCGGATGGTTGAGTTCCTGCTCTGCTCTGCTCTGCCACTGTCTCCCACTCTCCCCGCAGGCTCACCGACCTGCAGCGGCTGCAGCAGAAGGCGGCCTATATCGAGGCGCAGCGGCGGCAGGCGGAGCTCAACGCCACCGTGGGTGCGTCTGCTGTGCACCTGCTGCCCGCCGCCTGTCTGGCACGTCCCACCCTTCCCGGCTTGCTCCCTGGTGTCCTGCCTGCCTCTGTCTGACACGCTCTGAGCCTCGCCTGCCTGCCTCGCTGTTCACTGTGCCTTCCGTGCTGCTCCCATCCTGGCCCTTCCTACTCACAGAGGACACTGAGCTGCCGAACGCTGACGAGCCGCCGCCGGAGCCCTCGTTCATCGCCACCGGACGCCTGCCACTGCACCAACAGGCAGTGCTGCTGGAGGCCTGGCAGTTTGTGAGCAGGTGAGTGGGAAGGAGGCTACTGCTCGCAGTTTTGGCCAGCCGTCGCTGTGCCTGGCGCTCTGATGTTGCCCACTGCCACCTCTCCCCTGCCCAATGCAGGTTTGGCGTGCCGCTGCTGAAGCTTGGGGAGGGCGAGCAGTTGCCCACTCTGCAGCAGCTGGAGTCGGCGCTGCTGGGAGAGGTGCCGCCAGCGCCGCCGCCGCCCCCGGCGCAGCAGGAGCAGCCGCTGTCTCCCACAGCGGGCGGCGGGCCGATGGAGGGCGTGGAGGAGGAGCAGCAGGCTGCAGCGCCTCCCCCGGATGCTGCGGTGCAGCTGCAGATGGTGCTGCTCGAGTTTTTGGTGGGCGGCCTGTTCCAGGACACCGCCCAGGCCATCATCGGTGCGTGCAGCTTCCGCTCGGTTTTGGGCTGGGTTTGGTTGTCTGCAAGCCAGCTGCTGCCATGGAAAGGCGCTTTTAGGGCCGGTTGTTCCCCCTGATCTGCTCTTCCCTGCCCTCCCGTTCGCTGTCCCGTGTCGCTAAATTCCTCTGCCCCTCGCTGCCCGTGCGGCTGCCCGGTGCCGCCGCCGCTCCTGCAGGTGCCAACAGCGACATCACGATGGCCGATTTGCGGGGCCCCGGCAAGCATGCGCTGCATCCACTGGCCATCAAGCAGGAGACGTGGCAGGAGGTGGGCGGGGTGGAGGCAACGGTTCTCTTGGGAGGCAGGGCAGGGCAGGGCAGGGCAGGGCCAGGTCGGGATGGGATGGGATGGGTTGATCAGCCAGTAGTAGAAAGCGCCCAGAGAGACGAGAGATGTCCCTGCCTCCTGCAACGTGTCGTAACTCTGCGGCACCGCTGTGTGCTTCCCTCCGCGCTGCAGGCCGCCCGCCGCTACCTCACAGTGCTGGCCACCAGCGCTCTGACGCAGGCCAAAGACAGCGGGGCAGCAGGTGGGTGGGGTGGGCGGCCTTGGTCGCAGTCTGCAACGCTGCCGGCACTTGCTGCAGTGCCGTGTGGGTTCTCTGGTCTGCTGCCGCTGCGCCACTGCTGCTGATCTTGCCGCCCGCGACTGCCGCCCCTTATGTGTCGCTGCTGCAGGCGCCTCGTCGCTGTTGGCGGTAATGGATCCTTGGGTCATTCTGCAGTACCTCACAGCAGGTACTGCGCTGTACCACACTGTAGTGTGCTGCATTGAGGCCGCATGCATGGCTGGGCGGTCGTTCTGCACGGCCTTAGTTTTGCGCCACCTGACCTGCTAGCCCTGCCCCCTGCTCCCCTGCCGCGCAGGCCCCCCGGCCACCCTCGCGCAAGGCGCCGCCGCGCTGCCACGCGGCGCCAGCAAGACCGCTGGACACTCGGTGATTGCGCGCGTCGACGCCGTCGCGGTGGCGGCAGCGCATCGCGCATTGGCCGAGGTGGAGGGGGGCGGCGGCAGCAAGAGCGAGGAGGAGCAGCGGCAGGAGCAGCAGCTGCTGCGGTGTTTGCTCAAGGACATCATCCAAGCCAGCAAGGTGGGGGGGAGGTGTGAGTGCAGAGAGGTGTGGGTTGGGTCGGGTGGGGATGGGGCGATTGCTGCCTGGGCCTCAACCCCAGCATGATCCTCCATGGTCGCACATCGTGCCTGCCTGCCCGCCCGCCTCAACCTGTCCACCCCTGCAGATGAAGAAGGGCGATGGGCGGGTGCTGTGCTACGGCGGCCAGGCAGCGGCAGCCGCCGCCAAGTTTGGGCGGCCCCTGGACTTCAAGTGCATTGCGGCTCGCGTGGACGCCGGTGGGTGGGGCTGTGGCAGCAGGGCAGAGGTGGTCTTGGCTCCGCATGCCTGCCTTGGAGCCTGTGCTCACTAATCCCTGCTGCTGTTGTCTCCTGTTGTCACCTGCATGCCCCCCGCACACCTCACCTCCCTGCCCCTTCACCATGCCCATAGGCGTGTACACCGCGCTGCCCGACCCGCTGGCCGCCTTTGCCGCCGACGTCAAGTATGCGGCCTCGCTGTACCAGGCAGCCTGCAACAAGGCACACTCCCTGTTTGCCCAGGAGTACCTGGACAAGTGTGAGTGGGGTGTGGGTGGGCGTGGGCGGCGCGGATGCACGGGGATGCTGGGGGTTGGTTGCAACTGTCTCAACCCGCCTGCCGTCTCTTGTGTGTTGCCCGCTCCGTTCCCATTGCACCTGCCCCTTGAATGGAGGTATTATTGTTCCCTCCCCTGCTCATCACTCGCGTACCCCTGCAGCCGCCCCCGAGCTGGCCGCGCTGGCGGTGAGCAAGCTGGAGCAGGCGCTGAGGGAGATTGAGGTGACGGGCGCCGCAGACTACGTGGCGCAGCATGCGGCGCTGCCGCAGCAGCGTCGCGGGCCGCGCCCCACGCCCGAGCCTGGAGTCAAGGCGGAGGGCGGCGCGGCGCCCACGCCTGGCTCGGCGGCCTCGAGGGAAGCTTCTGTGGAGCCCAGCCAGCAGGCGGCGGCCGAGGACGGGCGGGGGCCCGCGGGGCTGGGCCAGCGCACGGCCACTGATGCCGTGCGCGACCTGGACAGGTGACTGGGCTGCTGGCATCTGGCTGCTTTGTTTGCAGGGACTCATGGCTGCGCGTCGGCAGTACTGCACTTGTGCTGTACTGCTCAAGCTGGGCCTGACCGCTCGCAGCGGGTGGGCTGGGCACGACCTGCTCCCGTGCCGCCACCGGGCTGCCCTCCTGTGCACCCTTGCCTGCCTGCAGGCCCTTTGCGCCCTTCAAGGACCACGTGGCCAGCAGCTGGCGCGGGTGCCTGGTGTGCTGGAATGGTGAGCCCGCTTACCCATGGCTGCCTCGTGCAGATCCGCCTGTCCTGCCTATGTGCGTGCCTTCTGTATCTGCCCTTCCCTCCTCCCCTCTCGCCGCTCTTTCCTCGCACTTTTCTGCCCCCCTGCTCCTCCCCGCACACTCCTTACTCCTCCACCACACCATGCAGACGACGACCCCGCCCGCCTGCTGCCCTGCGACACCTGCGACTGCCAGCAGCACAGCTACTGCCTAGAGCCGCCGCTGGAGGAGCTGCCGCTGCAGACGGTGGGGCCACACAGCCGCCGCTGCTGATGCCTGGGGCCGCTTGCTGTGAACGTGGCTGTGGCCTGCAGGCTGTGGCACCACTGATCCGCCTTGCTTCCCCCCGTACTCACCTCCCTCTCCTGCTTCGCCGCCCCGCACCGCGCAGGAGCCCTTCCTGTGCCCGCGCTGCCTCAAGCTGCAAGGCCCCGGCGCGCTGAGCGGCGGCAAGCCTTTGACTGTGGAGTTTGCGCGGGCCAGCGGCGGCGACGCGACCTGGCGCCTGGCGCAGCTGCTGGCTACTAAGGAGTACAGGTGGGGTTGCTGTGTGGGTGGCTGGTGGGTGGCTCGGAAGGGTGCTGGAGGCGCTGGTTGGTTTTTTGTTGTCATGCATTAGTTCCCAAGGCCACCCCTGACCCCTCCTGCGTCCTTCCCTCCCCTGCAGCGAGTGGAGCGTGGAGGATCGGTGCGCGCTGCTGCGCCTGCTGCTGTCGCTGTGCGCCGAGTCGGCGCGCCTCCACGACACGCTGCACGGCGAGGAGGACGAGGTGCGGCCCTGCCCGCCTGTTGCCCAGCTGGCAGAACCATCATTGTGCATTGTTTCCACTGCCTGCTAGCGTGAGTCGGCTCAGCCTGCTGTGGCACCAGCTGAAATGCTGGCCAGCTGCTCCCGAGAGGGTCCAAAAGCTGGCCTGACCTGGCGCCACCCGCCTGCCCTGGCTGCTTGCAGGTCAAGGATAAGAAGAAGGAGATAGCCCAGCTGAAGACCGAGGTGAAGCGCCTGCAGTCAGAGATGGCCGCCGCGCAGCAGCAGCAGCAGCAGCCGGCCGCGGGCGGCGGCGAGGGCGGCGGCGGGGACGCCGGCGCGCCGCCGGGCGCGGCGGCGCTGCCCCCGCTGCCGCCGCAAGCGTCGCGGCACAGCGCGCGGCGTGGGCGCGACCCCGCCGCCGAGATCGAGGGCATGGTGGAGCGCATCAGCAAGCTGGAGCACGACATCGCGCAGGCGAGGCTGTGTGTGTGTGTGTGTGTGTGTGTTTCGTTGCGGCGTGGATGTGTGTGTGTGGGGGGGGGCGGGGGGAGGTGGCGTCGTGGGCCTGCCCTTCCTGCAGCGAGCTGGTCACCTGCGGATGGCCCTGCTCACACCCCACGCCGGCTGCTGCCGACTCCTTGACCCGCCGCTGCAGGTGGGCCCCGTGCGGCTGGAGCCGGTGGGTCTGGACCGGCAGTACAATCGGTACTGGATGCTGCCGGCAGCTGCCGCGGCACCCGACCCCTCGCTGGTGCCCCCCCACGCCCCGCCGCTGCTGGTGGTGGAGAGGCACTCGCTCGACTCAATCGTTCCTGCCAGCGTGGAGGCAGCGGCGGCGGTGGTGAACGGCACCGGGGCAGGCGGCGGCGGCGGCGCCGGCGCCGGCCCCGCCGGCTGGCAGGTGGGCCTGTTCCACAGCATCCTGCACCTGCAGCAGCTGGCGCAGTGGCTCAACCCCAAGGGCACGCGCGAGAAGCCGCTGGCGGCGCACGTCTCACTGCTGCTGGACCAGCACCAGCAGTTTGCGATGCAGCACGCGCAGCTGCCGCGGGTGCCAGAGGCGGCAGAGGCAGAGCCGGTGGACCCGGAGGCGGCCAGGGCCTCCGCAGTGGCGCGCCTGCACCACGCTATGCTGTCGTTTGAGGAGGGCAACCAGTCGGGGACGTACGACGAGCTGGCGGGCAGCGAGGAGCGGCGGCAGCGCTGGCGCGCCATGGTGGCGGCCGCGCACACGCCCCAGGCACGTGTGCGGGGGTGATTGCTGCTGCACGGGTTGCAGCTCTTGTCTGGTCGCCGGCTTGTGCTGACGGCAAGTCCTGCCTGACCCCGCCCTTTTGGACATCTTGGCTCCCTCCCTGTTCCTGCAGGCGCTCATGGCTGCGCTGCTGGTGCTGGAGGGAATGGTGCGGCCAGAGTACCTGAAGCCCCACTGGCGCCCCTTCTCCCAGCCCGCGCCGCAGCCCGCCGACATCTGTGAGTGGCGCCAGGCAGCTGGGCCCCCGGAGGCCGCGCTGCGCCGCGCAGCTGCGGGCAACTGCAGCGACCTGTACCTTTTGCCTGGCCTTGCACGCTGACCCGTCCGTCCTGCACTGGTAAAGGTAAAGGTAAAGGTCCTGCACTGAGTGCCCCCGCCCCGGCCCCCGCCCGCTGCAGGCACGCTGCCTGCTGTGTGGCTGCGCCTGGAGGCGCTGAAGACCAGCGTGAAGCTGAAGCTGACGCTCAACATGCGGGTGTTGAAGGAGGCTATGGGCGGCAGCCTGGTGCCGGGAGCATGCGGAACGCGGTGGGTGGTGGGGGCTGGCTGGCTGCAGCAGGGATGTGCTTGGTGTGGGTGGTGAGTGGTGCAGAAGAGTGAGCATGGTCACATAAGTTGACGTTGTTGCCTGGCGTTGCTGACATGCCCCTCGCGTTCGCCTGCTGCGTGTGCGCTGCAGGTACAGCTTGCGCGAGCCCAAGCCGATGCTCAAGCGCTTGTACTACGAAGGTGGGGGCAGCTGCATGTGCCCCACCTGCCTGCTCTGCACCACCACATGCCCTGGCCTGCAGGCCGCCAGCACCCCCTGCTGCTGTTTGGCATCGCTCAGCTGGATCCCTCTGTTAAGCATCTTGCCTGAAGCCTGCCTGCTGCCCCTTCTTGCTGCCCCTCCCCTCTTTCCGCCCCGCAGGCCCCGACCCTACCTCACGCGCTGGCAGTGCCGACTCTGATGGCGAGGACAACAAGGAGACGCGGGCGGAGCGGGCCGCCAAGCGCGCCAAGCAGCGTGAGACGACAGGTCGGGCGGGGTGCAATGCGGCGGCTGGAGGCAGTGCCAGCTTGGTGCCGGGTGACGGTGGCGGCTGAGGCTGGCTCGCTGCTGGGAGATGGGTATCGGCATGGGAGGTGACTGGGCACAGTGTGCTGGCCCATGTGGCAGTGGTGTGCACGGGGCGTGCACGGGGCCCCTATTCTCCCTGGCTGCTCACGCTGCACCCCTGCCCTGGTCGGTGCAGACGACGAGGCGGTTGCTCGGGAGCTGGATGCGGAGCTGAACCCAGGGGCGCGCCGCACTCGCCATCGCACCGCGCCCGCCCACCACGCCGACCACCAGGCGGGCTACGGCAAGGAGCTCCTCGAGGAGGAGTGGGAGGAGCAGGATGACCAGGTGGGGGAGGGTGGATGGACAGGGAGGGATGATGCGTACGACAGGCAGGCTTGGTCGAAGTCACGCAGGCAGGCACGGCGGCCGCCCTGCCACCCCGCACTCCTACGGGATAGGCCTCACCTCCCCTGGCGCTGCTGCTGGGTTCCCTCCTGCAGGACGACAGTCCCGCCGAAGAGGACGTTGACATGGAGTACGCGGGGTCAGACTGAGCGCCGTTGCTTGTGGCGGGCGATCGCCACAGCCTCCCCGCCCCGAGGCCGGCCCGATTTGGTTGCTGCCCTGGTCGGCCATTGCCATTTCATTGAACGCATGCAGCGCCCTGTAACGTGCTGACCTCCATGTTGCTGGCTGTATCTTCGATTATTTAGGGTTTTAGGGTTTTAGGGTTTTTAGGGTATAAGGGGTGGCTTCAGGGAACAACCGGTTTATTTCCAGCCAAATGTGGACTTATGGGTATCAATGGACGCGTCTTGATGAGAGGATTCCAAAAACCCCGGTTTAGAGAAGTTTAGACAAGTGGGTGACCATAAGACCGAAAGAAAACCATGTTTTTGTCACCGCGCTGCATGCCAGTTGGGGCTGTTTGGGGGTCAAGGAGGCCTCAGATGGAAATTCTGAAAGCGGGAGCGTGATCAGCGCCCAAAAAAACGGGGGATTGGAATTTTCATAATTTTGGCCATCGGTGGTGATTTGGGCCCTCATTCAGCGATGGTGCAAGCCCTGCAGGGCGCTGTGCATGCCTATCGATGGTGATATGGAGTAGGGGTGCTCAAATAGGCGTGTTGACACTTGGAACACGATGAGGATCGAGTATTTAGGGGGTTGGTAGCAGTCAAATGTCAAGTCAAGGACCATCGCCTATCGATGGCAGGATGCCTTTACCGATCGATGGTGCAAGCCCTGCAGGGCGTTGTGCATGCCTATCGATGGTGATATGGAGTAGGGGTGCCAGGACCCTGTGTTACAGTCACCCCGCTATGATAGGCCGCGTGAGCAGACCTTGGGCAGGGGGCACACGTGATCAAGGGGCATCAAGAGAGGGGGTGGACCATGGAGCACCCTCTCCATGGCTCCGACCACCCTCCCCCCAGCTGAGCGTCCCAGGGTCACCCCACCCTGGCCCCGCTCCCCGTCCTGCCGGACACGCAACCCCCACAACGTGGTGGGGGACGTGGGGATCCTTAGCAGCTTAGGCCTGCCAGGCCGACGGGTGCCGATGCTGGTGCGGGCTCCCGGCGGCAGGCAGCGCCGCCGCCGGGCACTCAAATGGCATGGGGCACATGGGCCCCCATGCCCGCACATCTCCCAGGCACATGAAAATACCAGAAGGCTGCACATGTAAGGGTGCATGCATTGCAGGCAGGAGTGCAAAGTGGCCTGCCGCGGCGGTCGGCTGTGCCATTACTCAGTCAGCCGCCGCTACCGTGCCGGGCTTGGCGTTCCCATGCCAACATGCCGGCGTGCCATCGCGCAAGGGGCCAGTGAGTGTGTGAGGTGGAGGTGGGGGTGGTGGGGCTGCCGCTGACCGTTGCTTGCTGACGCTGACGCTGCTCTTACCTGCGGGGGGAGGGGGTGGGTCGGGAGCCAAGGCCGGGCAAAAGATGCCTGGGCCCTACTCAAGGG